TCCCCCCCACACACACCACCACCACCCTGCTCCCCCCTCTCTCTCCAGCCACCCCCCCCAGCCCAAGCCCGGCCCGGGACCCCGCCTTATATGCTAATCTATGCTAATGACGCCGTGCAGAAGCTGGAGCCTGGAGCGATTCACAAAAATCCACTTCCCTATATGGCGCTTGGGGCAAGATGGGGGTGGGGGCGGCGCCCGCGGGGTCCCGTTGGACCCCGATCGCTTCTCATACGGGGGGAACCCCCCTGCACCCCAACAAGGGGATAGATGCAGCGAGACTCCTAGGAGCCGGGACGCCTGGGTTCTCTGCCAGCCCTGGAGTGGGGTCTCGGGGTTAGATCTGGTGGTGGGGGTTGGAGCCAGGATGCCTGGGTTTTCTTCCAAATCTTCCCGAGCAGAAGGACAGCGAGAGTTTCGAACCGGGACACCTGGGTCCGTCCGTCGGCTCCCCCCCACAATTCTGGGACGGGTCGGGGCAAATCTGCTGGGCTTGCGTGGGGAGCCGGGACTCCTGGGTTTAGCCCCATATCTGGTAGCGGAGTGGAGTCCAGTGGGTGGGAGCTGGTGCGGGCGGTGGATGTTTGGAGCCAGGACTCCTGCGTTCTCTCCCCGGCTCTGCGAGGCGACTGGGGTCCCGGACTCCTGGGTTCCCCCTGGGGTTTGGGGCTGTGGTGGGATGTCCATATCACTTCTGAATCCCCCCACCCCCCCAATCCAGATCCCGTCTGCTGACCCTATCGTCGGGCTCTAGGACCCCGCGGCTGCCGCGCCGGCAGGGCGGGGAAGGGGGGCGCTATGACCTCATTGCATTCCTTTCATGTGTGGTGTAGAGGAAGTTGACTCACTGCCCCTCCCCCCCTCGGCACCCCCCCCTCCAGCCTGGGGGGGGGGGGGGGGGGGGGCGTGTGTGGGATCCAGATCCCGTCTGCTGACCCTATCGTCGGGCTCTAGGACCCCGCGGCTGCCGCGCCGGCAGGGCGGGGAAGGGGGGCGCTATGACCTCATTGCATTCCTTTCATGTGTGGTGTAGAGGAAGTTGACTCACTGCCCCTCCCCCCCTCGGCACCCCCCCCTCCAGCCTGGGGGGGGGGGGGGGGGGGGGCGTGTGTGGGGGGGCG